ACCGATAGTTGCTCCACTGTCCAAAGTGGAGGAACGACGACGGGCTCGTTGAGCACTTCCACTGCCACCAAGCAAGCTATGGGGACTTGCCACCGTTTGCACATCGTAATCCCGGTAGGAGTGTCGTGGTTATGTCTCACGACTCTAATCGGAGGCGAGGGTCTTGGCTTCGCCGCCCGGACTGCAAGGAAGTAAACCTCTATAAAAAAATTACTTCGAATCCCGTATTCTGGTGTGTGGTCAGGGGATGCATGGCTAAAGCGGGTCAAGAGTGACGCCCGCCGCGAGATGCTGGAGACACTGGAGTGGGATCCGTGAGGACACCCCTACCGTATGGTTAGGGGCAAGATGCGGTGTGCAACTCTTTCAAAGAGTGATTGCAAGGCGCCTCGTCAAGCATCTCGTCACCACTTCGTCTCCCGAGGCGAAGTGGTGTTGGCGGTGTCCTTGGACATCGCCAATGCGTTCAACACTTTGCCCTGGAGTTGCATCAGGGAGGCGCTCTTGTATCACAAAGTGCCTCTCTACCTCTGCCGCATAGTCGGGGCATATCTGTCGGAGAGAGCCGTCGTCTACCCAAGTAGGACCGGTTTCGGTAGACGTGGAATGTCGTGCGGTGTTGCGCCGGGGATCGGTGTTAGGGCCACTCTTGTGGAACATCGGCTACGACTGACGACACGCTCGTGACGGCGTGCGGCAAAACGCACCGTGAGGCATCGATGAGGGCCACGGCCGGGGTTGCCCAAGTAGTTGAGCGAATCCGGCGGCTGGGTCTCGAGGTGGCTCTGCACAAATCCGAAGCATTGTTCTTCCATGGGCTTCGGAGGAAGCCACCTGAGGGATCTAGCCTCATAGTTGGAGGCACTCGCATGGGCATCGAGCCCTCGATTAGGTATCTGTGGCTCGTACTCGATGGCTGATGGGACTTCGGACATCATTTCCGAGGTCTGGTCCCCAAATTGGTTGGGGCAGCGCGTGCATTAGCGCGGCTGCTGCAGAAACATGAAGGGACCCGATGACTCCTGCAGGAGACTCTACTCGGGGGTTGTGCGGTCCATGGCCCCTTTATGGGGCCCCAGTATGGGCGGAGGCCCTGAAGACCAGCAACGTCGCACTACTGTGACGACCGCAGCGAGTGCTGGCCACCAGGATCATAAGGTGACGCAGGTGATCACTGTGAGTGAGCCAACGCCTGAGTGCCACCATTGTGATGGTCGGACCGTGGACACGGCACTCCACACGCTGGCAGAATGCCCGGCGTGGGTGGAGCAGAGGCGAGACCTCGTGGCGGCCATCGAAGTGGAAGTTCTCCCGCTCGATAACCTTATTGCGGCTATTGCGCGGAGCGAGAGTGCGTGGAACTCTGCCGTCTCCTTCTGCGAGCAAGTTATGCTTGCGAAGGAGATGGCGGAGCGGGACCGGCAGAGGTTTAGAACTCTCCCGGCCCGCCAGGCTCGGGAACGGGTCAGGTACCACAGACTCAGTACTCAGGACTCAGCCGCCGGAGGTCGCAGAACGACCTCCGTCCTCCATAAGCGCAGGCCTGGGGTGACAGGTGAGGCCATCTGTCATCCGAGCAGAAGCAGGCCGGGGTGACGGCGAGCGCAAGAGGGAACATGGGGGTTCCCACACAGGGAGGGTCGTCTACCCGCCGTAGATGACCCGAGGTACGTCGGGGCACCAGGGATTTCCTTTCTAGGGTACACCTGGTTCCCCGACTACTGGTATCTAAGGCGGCGTGCGGTTTTCGTCGGTTCGAGTCCGACATTGACCGACAAAAAATAAATAAAAAAAAGGGGATGCATGGCTGTTGGGTAGTTCAGCCGCAAGCGCTCTCCCAGCCGGGGCACCTGCGGACCCCTCGGTTGGGTATAAATCTACGCTTGCCCGGGTAAATGGGGATCTCTGCCCGGGTCGACCTTTATTTCTCCCCCACTCGTGGGATCAATCATGCAATCGAATAAAACAAATATAAAAGAAACTGGAAAGGAAGGAAGGAAAGAGAAAAGTGGAAGAGTGGATGACTTCAAACGAGGAGCAATTGTTGCTCGTGACGCCTATCACCGAGCGGCTCCCAGAAGTCAGTCTGATTCCTGGGAGCCGAAGAACATCGGAATGTCTGCGTTCCAGATCAGGCTTTTAGTCAGATGGTGCGGGCGGTAACTCTAGTACGAGGACGGACGCACTGGAGCCCATGGAAAATGAGCTATGCGATAGCCGGAAACGCGGACGCTCCAGCGATGAGGAGAGCGACACGTCTCAAGAGAAGTTGTCTCCTAAAGTGGCAAGCAGCCGTAGAGGGAGTGAGAAGTCCCGAAAGCGGGTTAATAAGGCTGCCAAAAGAGCAGTCTCTACCCGCAGTTGCCATTGGTGGCGGTGGCCACTAAGAGGAAGCCGCGTAAACTACAAGCGCCTAAAACCGCGGCTGTGGTGGTTACCGTACCACTGGAGAGGGCTAACGATGGGCTGTCCTACGCGTCCGTCTTTAAAAAGCCCGGTACAGTCTCGCACACAATTTCGGGACGGTAGGTGTCAGAATGCGCCTCGCCCAGACTTGAGCTCGAGTCCTAGAGTTCCCTGGGACTGACGACGCAATGACGGCGCACACATTCGCCGAGAACCTGCAGGAAATATTTACAGCCACGGATTGTGTCAAGATCGCCAGGCCCACTAAGTGCGCGGAGCTGCGCATCTCGGGCCTGGACGACTCCGTAACGGCCAAGGATGTCCGCGTTGCAATGCGAGAGAAGACGGGGTGCAACGCGGCAACATCAGGGTCGGCACCATCCGCCCTGGTCCAGGAGGGCTTGGCGCAGTGTGTGTCAGCTATCCCGTAACGTCGGCCAACATTTTGGGTGACGCAGGGAAGCTGCTCATCGGTTTCGTGAACGCTAGGATCACAGTCCTGGCGGCGAGACCGATGAGGTGTTTTAAATGCCTGGGATCTGGACACACACGTGTTAGTCGTTTTGACTGCAGCGGACTACGTTTTCGCTGCGGTACAGGGGGGTCGATAGTGGATCTTTCGTTTGCTACCCCTGCCCTTGCCGCACGAGTAAGGAACTGGTATGTCTTGGAAGAGGTTGACACGCTCTCGGATCACTTATATATCCGATTTGAGCTCTCCCGGACCCAGGACCCCAGTAGGGGTCACGTCTTCCGCTTTCTGCGGTGGGCTGTTTGCCAGACTGAACACGGACCTACTAGAGGAGGCAGCCATAATTCACTCTTGGTTGTCTACTCAGGCTCCGACCGAGGAGGTCGATATGGGGGCCGGGCGATTTCGCGATGCGATTACGCAAATCTGCCATGCGGCCAGGCCCCGCATCCAAGGTCTTCGGCCTCCAAGGAAGGAGGTCTACTGGTGGTCCCAGGAGTCGGCAGACCTACGTGCGGCCTGTACGCGTGCCCGGAGGTCCTACACCCGCAGTCGGCGGCGTCACCGCGGAGATAGCGAGGAGAACCGGCTTCATGAGGAGTACCGAGAAGCGCGGAAAACTCTGAAGCTGGTCGGCGCTGCGTCCGCCCTAGGGCGACTTTTGGGCTGACTCAGCGTCGCGACAAGATGATTGTACACGGGGGTTGTCCGGTCAATGGCACTGTACGGTGCACCAGTATGGGCGGCGGCTCTGACCGCCCAGAATAGGGCACGCCTCTGGCGCCCTCAAAGGATATTGGCGGTTAGAGCCATACGCGGTTACCGCACCGTTTCGACGGAGGTGACTTGTGCGTTGGCCGGAACTCCCCCGTTGGATTTGGAGGCAGAAGTGCTTGCCGAAGTATATCGGCGGACGGCTGATTTCCGGGCGGGTAGTGGCAGTCGGCCGCCGCCCGAAGAGATACGCAAGTGGCGTGAGGCCGCTCGCCGAGCCACGATGACTCGTTCCGAGGCGAGGCGCTCCAGCCGGTTATCATCGAATGGGTAGGGCGGCAACATTGGACCCTTTCCTTTCGACTGACGCAGGTCCTTTCCGGGCACGGCTGCTTCGGGAAGTACCTGCACTCGGTCGCTGGGAGGGAATTGAGTCCCGCCTGCCACTGACAATAAAATCATAGTTTTAAAGAGAAAGTTTTAATCACGCCTATCGTTCTTAGATGATGTATTAGATTGTCTTGTTTGTCAATAGTTTTTTTTTTCTTTAACATATAAAGGAATTCTGAAGCCTTTCACATAATGCAGCCATTTTCACATAATTATTAAATTTAAAATTAATTTTAAACATGTTGATTAGAAATGTGCTATTGATTTTGAATGAAAATGTCGAAGCTCTTATTTTTATGGCACACACGATAATCAAATTTCTGTTACGTAAGCAGGCCAATCAAGGAATTTCGTGTCAAAAGAGAGAACTGAGTCGAACGTTAATTTTCTTAATGTATCTTGTTAAGGCCGGGTCGGATCGTGTTCCATTTCTGAATAAATTAAGACAACATTAGCTGCAAAGACTCGAACATGCTCTTACCTGCCACTAACGAACTTTGTATGAATTATATAAAATTATATGTCCTGAATGGATATTTCTAACCATTTAGACATATTTATGCCATACTAAATTATTTCATATCTCTTTTACATTTTAGACTTTCAAAAAGCTGCAATAATTGTTTTAATAAGACGTTTCGTTGCAAGAATTCAATTAAATCAAAGTAAACGGAGTCAAATAAAGAAGGAGTATCAGTTTTTATTTTATTTTATTTTCTATTACAAAATTAGTAATTTTATCATGGTTCAGCTTAGCTATTTAATGGCATATCAGGGTAACCAAAAGTACAAACTTGTAACTTTGAACAAGCAGGACATTGAAACGGAAGGTGAAGAGAGGCAACTATATTTATTCCTGGCGCCGGAGAGCAGAGAATGCATTTAAAGTGATTTTATCTAGCTATTGGTTATCGACGCGTCTGCAAACATAGCACGTACTTACGTACTTACTTACTCACATGTGACTTTAAATACTTCTATTACTCATGGTAAGTAATTGTTAAATTTAGAGTGATGTTCATTTAGAGTGATGTTCAATTTCCTCAATTTTCCTATAGTGGCGTTTAATTGCGTCTTCGTGCCGTTTGATAGATTCGCGATGATGGCTGATTTCGTCGTCCAAGTGCTTCTTTAAGTGTATCAATTGATCCTTTTGCTTTTTGTAAAAGTAAGCTTCTTCCCGACCAGCTTCTAGTTTGCCAAAGGCACCTCCAGCTTCACGGATGCTGCCTCCACCACCGCCACCTTTGCCAGCCCCACAGCCTAATTCACCAGTTGCATGTAACAGACACATGCGGGCTCTTGCAACTGACCTCATGATTTAAATCACACAGTTTGATTATTGAATGTGATGTGGAGATGTGGTTGAAATCATTTTAAAACATTTAAAATTTTCATGTCAAATGTGTCCAATGATTGAAATATATATGACAGCTAATAAAAATATACTGTGTGATGACATCAATGAGTATTTGATTTATACGGCATTGAAGGTGCATTAACAGCAAAGAGGTGTGTGGGTTATTGCGAATATCAGCATCTGCGGATAATCAGAATTGGTGTTAATATCAGCATTAGCATCCGCAACAATCGATGCTGATTTTAATGCTGACATTCAAGTCGTAACGTTTTCATTGAAGGCGCAAACTAGCACCAGTCACGTTGTTTTAACCAATCATAGACAGTTTTATAAGAAAAATATAACCCTTCCTTGGCAGTTAGCTAAAAAGCTGAACGTTTTTCCTCACTCCATGGTTAGTGATATATTGTGTGACATGCATAAGTAATGCATGTAATAATCCATACTTCCATAAGTATGTATATATGTATAGTAAATCGGGTGTAAGGGACATCGTAACTAATACTAAAATAGTGTATTGAAACCATCATTCTGAGTATAAAATCATTGGAATGTTCTGCCGCAAAATTAAACTTTTTATGCAATCAGCTGTCAAAGGCAAATGTAATTTCCTGTAGGTATCGCACAAAAGTAATAACTACACGTGTATTCCGTGCAAACAGTCTACGCACAATGACACAAGTTGGCGCGCTTCGGCTGTTTGATTAATTATATTGCTTTAAAATTGGTACGGAACAAACACGTACGAGGAAGCTACACTTAAGCTTTCCCGACATTACTGATAAAATGCAGGAAAGCAGACTGAAAGGGTACGGTCAAATAAAGAGGAGGCTGACTGACTACATTGGCAACATGGCGCAACATTTATCGACCCCCGGTAGAAGATCCAGAGATAGATCGAAGACAAGGTGGGAGGATGTAGTGCTAACGGAGATGGAAGACTGTCGGATTTCCGAAGACGATACAGATGACCGAGCAGTGGAGTTGACAGATGAGAAAAGCTGACCACACCTGACCATCATGTGGGATGAATAGCTTGGAAGAGAGAGAGAGAGAGAGTGTTATTTTGTAGGTACTCGTACTATAAGTAGTACTAAATATTAAGTAATTTTTAAAAGTACAATTAGGTTTATAATGGTTACCAAAAAGAAGTGGCGAACACGAGCAATGACAACAAACAGAAAAAAAAAACTGTTGTAATTCGAAGCAAGCCTGTAAATTAGAAAAACGCACTCTTTCGATATGTCAAGAAAAAAATCTTATAAATTTAAGTTTAAACTTAACTAGGCACTTGATCGAGCAGTATATTTTACAGGTCTGGTCTGTTCTAAATGTGTGTTAGGTGAAATCAAGAAAGAGCTTACAAACCCACTAGTTTATCTGAAATCACTACACAATACACGACAAGAAATATAAAAAATATCCGGAATAGAAAAGATTCAAATATTTTTGATTTTGATCGTCAAGTAATTTATCGCTGCATTGAAGAGTTTTATTTGACTAAACTGATTTTTGTATAGGATGTAACTAGCCTGAGAAAATTGTTGAAGCAGACAGAGTTGACATAACAAAACAAGAATTTTAGTAGGGTTCAAATATCATGCTGGCGACATAATAAAATAAATGAAATGCTGACATACATGAGTTCTTCGAATATATTGCAGTCCATGCAGGATCATAAATCAGATTTTTAGACAGAGCGAAACTGATTTTAAAACCTGACTTAGGTGGTTTAGAATCGAAATGTTAATGTTAATTCCAAAATGTCTCCAGTGTACATTTCTAAGTATATCTTCTAAAACCGATGTGAAAAGTATAGGGGAAAGTGGATCACCTTATCCGATGCTTCTTTGAATACTAAATATTGTTCAAGTTGGACCGTTGATGTGGTATTTTCACGGTCGCCTGTAAGAGATTGCCTCTGAGCGATAAAGCAGCCACTTGTACTAACCTATTTTAAGATAATTGTTGTATATTTATCTGGTGTACAATAAAGTGATACATTATTATTATTTTCGTATATTTCTTTTAGATTTTTATTTATTTGCTTTACCGTTTTGACTCTAAGAGTCAAAAGCCTTATTATAAACAATGAATGCTATATAATATAGTTGCCCATATTTTTAACCGACTTCAAAAACCGAGTAGGTTCTCAATTGGACCATATTATTTTTTCGTTAATATAGTATTTTAATTATAATTTTTACCACATGTCATATCATGAATTTGATCTATTTGGAATAATCGGCTCGAAATCCCTCGCAAAATCGCTAGTTGGGTTTTATTCTAAGTGCTTCAAAATTCGTTCGAGTAATATGTTAGGAAAAACTTTGTTTACATATGACAGTAGAGATGTAGTTAAGTTATTTATTATTTATTTCGTTTTTGTGTAGTAAATTCGTTTACTGAATTTACTGGTTCGGTAGCTATTACTTCATTTAATAGATGCTTGTAACGCATCGTGTTCGGATTATTTATATTATTTATTTAGAATTCTTTCACTTCTTTTACTATTGATAATCTTTTTGTCGCCAAGTTCTTCACATCCATTGCGTGTATTCTATTCTTAGCTTTATTATATCTATATTAAGTCCATCTGTTTTCTATATTTCTTCACTTAATACATTCAGTGTCTCTGTTTTTCTCGTCATGTGTTGTTTGTTATCTTTTTGTTTGTCGAACAGTTTGCATTAGCATTAGCGTTTCTTCTCCCAACTTGTATTTCTTCTCTTTTTTAACACTCGATTTGTTTTAATTTAGCAGTTCCTTTTTCAAACAATGATACTTTTCTTGAAGTGTTGATTTTTTCAATTTTATCCAATGTGTCTTTCCTAATTTGTTTAAGAAATGTTATCATATAGGCGAGATTATTGGGATATTATCGATTGAGTAGCTAATCTGTTTTCTTGATTTGCCATCAAGTAAGTCAGTCATTTTCATTTGGTCGAAATGATCCTCTTTTTTCTGCGTTGACGATAGATGACATTTCAGTGGAATGCCACTGTCGCTCACTCTTCGTAAAAATAACTGAATGAATTACTTTTCTTAGAACCTTAAAAGTTTGTCCTTGAAAGGTTTAAATTAAAGATTTAATATTATGTTTTTGTTAAATGAAAAGAAATCGTAAGTAATCATGTCTAGTTCCCATTCTAGGTCAAGTCGGGTTAATACAAGTTAATATTGCATGTAAAATTTCAGAGAGTTCTACAACTGCTTGCAACTTGCTTAGCTCGATGTTTTTGTGTGACCTCGTGCTATCTCGAAGAGGCGACTGCCAAGCGCAATTAGTTTTAATTTTATTAGAATGGCTTTATTTATAAATACAATGGAATATATATTCTAATACAAAGTTATAAACAACTTTCCTTTCTCTAGCTAGTCAGGTTGTTCATGGGTCATCATATTATTTATTATATTTTCAAATATAGGGGCATGTTATACGAATATTTTTCCGAATGTCATAAGACATCCGTTATTATAAGTGGCAATTATAACTCTCCTAACAGTGCACAAAACTAAAACTACCGGTCCTACTTACTAACGCAATATTTTTTTTAGTAGCACTCAAACGATTTTTAGGAAAGAATATTTTGAAATACTTTTTACTATGAAGAAGACTTTTTCGTGCAAATTTAAGAAAATATTTAAGGTTACCTACCTACGAAGTTAGAGATTTGTATGAAAATTTTAGAACATAAAAATTTTGGTTGTTCTTTTATTTTACCTAAAAAAAATATTGGCCCAAGTTATCTATACGATTTTGTCATTTTGATGGCATTTTGTTTATCACTTTACTATAGAAGTCTGCTGGACGGGGGGCGATGAAGTCAGCGAAAGCGTTTTGTACTGCCCCTTGGGTGTATAATTTTTTCCAATTTAAAAAATTGTCTAAATGTTGAAAAAAGTAGAAATCTCTTGGGATATGGTCCGGTGTGTACGGTGGGTGATGGAGAGCTTCTAACTGAGGCTCTTGTAGCTTTGTGATAGTCTGTCGTGAAGTGTGAGCTCGCGCGTTGTCGCGGAGAAGCAATGGGGAAGAGCGATTGACCAGTAATGGTTGTTGAATTGCGTTTTGATTAAAGCTTTGATGTACAAGTCCGACACTGGTCCAACAGACAGCCACCACCCTCTTCTTATGGGTATTTTTTTTAGAGCACTGATAAGGTGTTGTACCCCCATTTACTCAAATCAACACTTACGGTTGTCGTACAGGAACTACTTTTTATCGTAGGTAACAATTCGATTCTGGATTCCCTCATTTCTATGCCAATTCAGTAGTGCTATGCATGCTTAAGCCTCGCTGATAGTCACTTAGTTTCTGTGGCATCTAATTATCTCGCTTTTTCTAAACTCCAAAGCCCGCAGTAAGCTCAACCGTAGACTGAATTGGCTCCGCTTCCACTATCGCCTTCGATTGGTTGTTGTCGACTATAGTTACCGGCAGACCGTGAGGCTCGTTCTTCAACTCATAATTTCCAGATCTAAAAAGATTGAGCCAATAATTAACCGTGTTAATGCAAACAGCGTTAGGCCCGTTTACGTCTTTAATGTTTCGTGTTGTTTTCGGAGCGGTATTTTCACTAGTAGGAACTGTAGTAACTGTAGAGTACTACAGTACAATTTTTGAATTACGGTACGGATTTTCAGTTTAATAATGGCGCCTACAGCTACCACAATTTTACAAAAACAAAAGCATTTGTTTTAAGATAGTGTTTATCTAAAACAAATGCTGAATTTTAAGTCAAAATAACATGGCATTCGAAGGTTTTTTTTAAATTTCTAATTCAGCGCCAACCCACAAATAATTATATCTGAAAATTTTGGTTTTAAAAATCTCCAACTTCATAGGTTCCAATTTATAAGTCCCGGATTCGGGCGCGTGTCACCCTCCCCCCCCACACGCTTGCTGTTCTCGTCTATATTGTGTCTCAACTTATCGCGCACAGATATTATCTTTA